CATTCCAGATTGTGATGATGGATGCCCTCTGGCACACTTCAATTTCCATGTCATTTTTTAAAATTAAAATAATATATATTTCAATATTGTAACAATAAATATTATGCAATTAACAGTGTGTTCTATACATGTGTGCTATGCTTGTTTCTATCAGTTTATCTGTTATCTATGGATGACAAAAGAAAAGGACTTCCTAAGTGTATTCGAAATTGCTATCGTTCACTGTTTTGTGATCCAGTAAGGGATGCCAGTCTTGGTTTGGGAACTATCTGGATATTTTGGGGTGGAGCCTTGGGGGGAGAGGGGTTTGGGGAAGGGAGGGACCTCAACAGGATAGGACACCATACAGTTCATTTTCCGAAGCAGCTCTTTTCTCCAGGGGAATTGATTTCTGGCATCCTGAGACCAGTTGTAATTGTGGGAGATCTCCAGCTTCCACCTGGAGTTTGGCAACCCTAGATCCAGTGCACGTGACTCTAAAATTCAGTTCTATATTTTCTTTTGTTTTCCGTGGAATTGTTAAAGCTGGCAACCCTTGGGAGGGTGGTTTAGTTAATATGTATTGTATGTATTGCGTGACTTCACTTTTGTATTTTTCTACCTCCAAACATGGAGGTTTCACTGAGTTATCATGAGTGGCATCTGTTGAAATACTCATCTTCCATGGATTTGTCTCATACTTTGGAGCCACAGATGTTCATGAGCACAATCACATACTGTGGCAACATGATGATTTAAAGAGATTTATGGAAACACAAATTAAACACATATAGTGTCCTCTGTTGAAGGAGTCACCACTATCTCTTCTTCTCTTAACAATGGAAGTTCCTTTTACTACCTAGCCAAAATCTACAACTTTATGATTTCCACCTTTTTCTTGTGTTCCCTTTTGGAGCAAGAGAGTTTTAATAGAACATTTCCCCTAATTAATAGGGAACATTTTTGCTTCAGGGATGACATTTTCCCTAATTAATAGAAGAAATCGTTTTTTAGATATGGATTTCAGTTAATTCTCTTGGTCAGTCTCTGCCAGTTCAGACCCCATCAATGTGTATTTATAGTTAGGATTTTTGGCCCCAATGCGCATCACTTTGCACTTGGCCACACTGAACCCCATTTGCGATGTTGACACCCACTCGCCCTTCCTCGACAAATCCCTTTGGAGTGCCTCACAATCCTCCCTGGTTTTCACCACCCTGAACAATTTAGTGTCATCTGCAAATTTAGCCACTTCACTGTTTCCTCCCCACTCCAAATCATTAATGAACAAGTTAAAAAGCTTTGGACAAAGTGCTGATCCCTGCAGTACCCCACTGCTTACCACCCTCCACTGTGAAAATTGCCCATTTATATTCAACCTCTGTTTCCTATTCATTAGCCAGTTTTTGATCCACAAAAGGACATGTCCTTTTATCCCTTGACTATTAAGCTTACTTAGGAGACTTTGATGAGTAGCTTTATCAAAAGTTTTCTGGAAGTGAAGATAAACAACATCTATTGGGTCCCCCTTGTCCACATGTTTGTTCACCCCCTCAAGGAACACTAACAGGCTAGTGAGACAGAATCCATGCTGAGTCTGCCTTAATAGTTTTTGTTCATCAATGTGCCTACTAATTCTCTCCTTAATAACAGTTTCCACCAACTTACCTGGTATTAATATCAGACTGACTGGCCTGTAATTTCCAAGAGCTTCTCTGGAACTCTTTTTAAGGATGGGAGTGACATTAGCTACCTTCCAGTCCTCAGGAATGAAGGCAGATTTTAATTAAAGATTACATATTTTTGTCAGGAGATCCACAAGTTCACAGTTGAATTCTTTCAGAACTCTCAGATGTATGCCATCCGGGCCTGGTGATTTATCTGTTTTTAAGTTGTCTATCAGTCATTGGACGTCCTCTCTCATCACCTCAATCTGACTCAGGTCTTTCAACACCCCTCCTGAAATCAGCGGTTCTGGAGTGGGCAAGGACTTTGCATCTTCCACAGTGAAGACAGAAGCAAAAAATGCATTCAGCTTCTCAGCCATTTCCCCATCATCCTTCAGTAATCCTTTTACCCCTTGGTCATCCAAGGGCCCCATTGCCTCCCTGGCTGGTTTCCTGCTTCTAATGTATTTGAAGAAAGTTTTATTGTTGGTCTTTATGTTTTTTGCTATATGCTCCTCATATTCCCCTTTTACCTGCCTGATCACAGACTTGCATTTTATTTGCCACAGCCTGTGTTCCCTTTTATCAACCTCACTGAGACTAGCTTTCCACGAAAGCAATCCTTCTTACCTTTTACAGCTTCCATTACTTTGTTTGTTAACCACACAGGCCTTTTTCTATACCTATTTGTGTCTTTCCTAACCTGCGGTATATATTTTATCCTTCTAGGATTGTAGTTTTAAGTAGTCTCTAGGCTTCCCCAGTGGTTTTGACCACTTTTCCTTTTCCTTTCAGTTTCCACTTCAGATGTCTCCTCATATCAGAGAAGTTACCCCTTTTAAAGTTAAAAGTGGTTGTGTTGGTCTTTTTGGACAACTCCCTATTTATACAAATGTTGAGCTCAATAACATTATGGCCACTGTTCCCAAGCAGTGCAATCACTTTTACATCTCTCACAAGGTCTTGGGTGTTTGTTGTTGTTGTTGTTCAGTCGCATAGTCGAGTTCGACTCTTTTTGACCCCATGGACCAGATCATGCCAGGCCTTCCTGTCTTCTGCCGTCCTCTGAAGTTTGCTCAATTTCATGTTTGTTGCATCTATGACACTGTCTTGGGTGTTACTTAGGACCAAATCCAGGATCACATGTTGGGAGGTTTCAGGTCAAAAATCCTCCTATGATAGGGTCAGCTATTTCCATATGGGAGTTCCCTGCAGCCCTAAGGTTGATGCCTCCTTCTCCAATGAGATTTTAAAAAGCAAAGGATGGGTTGTTGCTTTGGGGGAAGAGGTATTCTGTGCCTGGTGCATAATCCCACCTCTCAGAGGCATTGCTAAGCATGATAGGAAGCACCCTCCCAGGTTGCCTTTAAGCTTCCCTTACAACCCAGTCATAAACCTAGCTACCACCAATGGTCGACAACCCTAGCGCTGGCAGAAACGTACCTTAGAGAAAGCTTTTACACTACTACTAGCCCCAATTACCTTCAGGCAATCTTCATTACAGAGCATGTGCGGTGTAGGACAGGAAAACATCATAATTAACATTGTAGGCCTAGGAACTATATATGGGGAAACTATACAGAACCTCTGGTGAAATTAAAGCAGCAGAAGCAACAACTTAAAATTCTCCTTCACCATCAGTGTCACTCACATAGATACATTATAGAACAGAGTGTGAGCCCAGTGGCCCCTTTAAGACCAACAAAGTTTAATTCTGGGTACAAGCTTCCGTGTGCATGCATGCTTCTTTAGCAGGGGTCGTTTCATAGAAAAAGAGCTAGAGGAACTCATTAGCATAACTCATTAGCATATGTCACACACCCTGACATCAGGGGCCCGGCGGTGGACCTGCAAGGCCGGCGGGAGTGCGAGGAAGCCCCGCCAAGGCCCTCCCTGGCCCCAGGCAGGCAGGGGTGGCGAGAGGCAGGGAGGAAGCAACTTACCCTCCCTCTTCTCCTGCCTCCTCCTGGCTGAATGAGGGCCAGAAGCGGGGCGGCCGGAAGCAGGGGGCGGGGCTTTGTTGTGTGCCCCGCCCCCCGCACCTCACCCGGGGGAACTGCGATCCCCCGCGATCCCCCCCCCAATGACCTCTGTTCTTCAGATATCTGATAAAGCATGCATGCACACAAAAGCTTAGACCCAGAGTTAAATTCTGTTGGTCTGAAAGGTACCACTTCACTCAAACTTTGTTCTGTTGCTTCAGACCATCACAGCTGCCCACCTGAATTGGTAAGAAAGAAAAATGGCAGTCATATCATTCCAGATTACTTTATTAACATATAATCAGAATTTATAACAGGCTTTGCGGTATCAAAAAGACAGAGAGGAAATATCACAATAATGACTCAGGAGTATGCCTATGGCAACCATGTATTGCTACAGGGAAACAGAATATTACAATATAAAAAAGAGACACAAGAGCACTTGCATCTCCCCCCCCCCCAATCACCATACTGCCAGTTTGTTTTCCTACCTCTCCCTGCCCATTCACTCTCCTAGGCACAGTAAGGAGGAGGAAAGGGGGGTGGGCAAAGGGAGGCAAGGCAGAAGGGTGGCTCCAGTTTCCCCTTGTCTACTCCTGGTGGCCTCCACCACCACATTTTCATGGGCCATTAGGACATCTCTGAATACCACCCAAATTCATGAGCAGACATTACTTGACTTTTATAAGTCTTTGTGCATCAAAATGATTTTTTTAAAAGATTAAGATTTTGCTGCAAGCCAGGAGATTCCCCTGTCTGTAGACATGACTTTGGACTTTTATAGGTCCTTGTGTCCCAAAAACTCCCATAGAGATTTCAGGTCAAATGCTAGAGCATTCCCTGGTGATGTGCCCAGCATGATGCCTTCGCCTCTGGATGACATCATCACACCGGGCACCAATGCTCCCTCTAAGCTGCGGAGTCTTGTGAGCAAAAATTCTACTTTCTGAACGACTGGCATGAAAGTTGTGAGCGAGTGATTTAGCTGCTGCATCAATTAGTTTGCTCTGGAGCCCTCCTTCCTGAGCTAAGACAAAAATGTGTGAGCCAGAGGATAAAAAAACCTGTGAGATAGCTCACACCAACTCAGCTTAGAAGGAACACTGCCGGGCACATTGGCCTGATCCAGGCACTTTGGGGGTGGGGTTTTCCCTGCCGGCCGGATCCAGGCCAGCAGGATGGGGGGCCCTTGAGTGGGCAAAGTCCCACCCCCTGGATATTCTGGCAGCCCTGGTATTTCTGAATGTGGCTCCCTGCAACCCACAGAGTGAATACCACTACTCTATCATACCTGTGACTGGCCCTATTACACGGATTTAACTTTCAGCATACAGGGACTGGCCTTGACTAAAAGGGATTTTTAGAAACTTACGATCCCCTTTTCTTCATTAGACATTCTTTTGTATTCATTTCAGGCCTCAGTATTATGACATAGCATTTAGGCAGAAAAATGCAACTCAGTAAGCCGGTACTGGAGGCCAAGATAGAGAATATCTGCACAGCTACCATGTATTTCCCCTTGGAGCTCAGATAGGTAGGTACAAAAGAGACCCAAATGCTGCAAAATACCAGCATGCTGAAAGTGATGAACTTGGCCTCATTGAATGCCCCAGGCAGCTTTCTGGCTAGGAAGGCTACGATGAAAGAAATAGTGCCCAGGAAACCCATATAGCCAAGAGTGCCATAAAATATAGTGACAGACCCTTCATTGCATTGCCAAATGATCTGTCCACCCTGGGAGTACATGTCCAGTTCTGGGAAGGGAGGAGAAATTCCCATCCAAAGGATGCAGACACCAAATTGAATAATGGAACAGAAAAGGACAATAACAATTGCCATACTCTTCCCCAGCTGTCTCCTGTTCCCTGGCTTTGTGGCCCTGAAGGCCAGCACCACAGTGAGCGTTTTGGCTAACACAGAAGACACGGCCACTGAAAAGATGGTGCTGAAGACAGTTTGGCGGAAAAGGCAGGTCACCTTCCTGGGCTGGCCAATGAACAGGAAGGACGACAGAAAGGAAAGCAGGAGGGAGACGAGAAGGATGTAGGAGAGGTCTCGGTTGTTGGCTTTGACTATGGGAGTGTTGGCATAGGTAATGAAGATGCCTAAAACAAAACATGTGCTTAGAGACAGTAAGAGGGCAAAGAAAGCCAAAGTGATCCCCAGAGGTTCTCTGTAGGACAAGTAGACTGTAACCTTTGGGAGACATTGATCCCTCTCCTTGTTTGCATACTGATCTTCAGGACATTCATCACAATGTTTTGCATCTGGGGGAAAAATTGTATTTCATAAGAACATAAGAAGAGCCCTGCCGAATTGGACCAGTCATACATCTTGTCCAGTATCCAAAGTGGAGAACCTGTGGCCCTGGAGGGACAAACAAACAGTCCATAGAGGACATGGCCTTCCCTTGTGGCTGCCTCCCAGCACTGGTATTCAGAGGCCTGCTGCCTCTACAAGGTGGAAGCTCCCTTCATCCACAAAAGCAAGTAACCACAGATGGTCTTCTCCCCCACAAATCTCTTTCAGTATCAGAAGCTCCAAGTTTATCAGTTATCCAGAAGCTCCAAATATTATACTTCTATCAGATAAATTTGCTATCTGAATATTTGTATTTATGTATTTATTGTAAGGGGGTTATAGTTCACTTTCCCTATATCTCAGGCTAAGAAAGATTCATTGATAAATACAGAGTTCAGTGGAGGAATATTTGCCTAACAATTCAAAGTCAGTTCCAAACAGCCCGAGAAAACATCTAATTGTTCCAATATTTTCAGAAGCCCGCTTCCCCCCCCAAAATAAACCTGCCATCAGGGCCGGCCCGAGGGGGCTGTGCGCCCTAGGCGAGGCCGCCTCGTGACGCCCCCCCCTCGGATGCCAACCTCCCGGTGGGTCCTGGAGACCTCCCAGCAGGCAGGCAGGAAAGCGCCCCCCCCCGCCGGTTGGTCAGCCGCACGATTCCTCCTCCCCCCTCCTGAAGAGGTGGCGG